CCTTGGACGCTGCACACACCCTCTTCCCTTCCTCTTCCCTCCCTCATCCCTCCCCCGCAAAAACGATGCTCTCACCACTCCCGCCAGTCAAATCCCTCTCGCCATCCAATTTTCGCTTTTGTGGCGGCGCCGACCCAGTAAACGAGTAAACGAGGCGTCCATCCCCAGCCATTCTCATGCACCACCCACACCGAGCCCTCGGGAGGGGGGGGTGTTGCTGCCCGCTACAAACGTCCCCCCTCGGTACATACGAAGTAACGCACGCGGCCTTGGCTTCTTCAGCGGCAAGCCAGGCGTTTGCGAAAGGAAAAAAAAAAGCAAGCAGGCAAACGAGACCGGGCGCATCTCGATGCATGATAGCACCAGTTCGTGCCACGATAACGGCGTGGCGTAGGCTCGACGAGATGACCTCGTGCTGCTGTCGTGCAAGGCAAACCGGCGGCCAGATGCTTTCCACCAAGTCATGGCCGCGTTTCAGATGAGAGCAACTTGTCTTGTTTTCTCTGCCTAACGAGATGCATATAGTGCCAGTCTCGCTTTCCTCGGCATGTTTGCATGCTGCACCATGCGACCGGTGTGTGCAACGCCCCCTGACACGGCTTACTCAAGCAATAAGACACGGCAACCACCGCTGCTGTAAAAATCACTTGGACCTGATAAGATTCATCACATATTGTATAGGTCACCAGGCTAGCTTGCCGCAGCGCAGCGCCGGCCGGCCGCCCGGCTTGGGCTGTTGGAACAACGAAGCAACGACTCCAACGCCAAAAAGCCTCCGCAAGCCTCAGCTTCCCCCGCTCGCCGCGCCTGCAACTGCACATGCAACGCGTCCGTTCGTTCGTCCACCGCCCTGAGCAGGTTTTACTTATCTCTTTTTCCACCTTGACAGCTTTTTTCCTCTCGACGGCCGCCAGGGTTCATCACATTGTTGTTCAAGTCCCAACGTTCTGGAACCTCGTCCCAGTGGGGGAGCTTGGAGCTTCTTCTCACAACGCTAGAGCCGAATACAGTCTTCCGAAGCAGCCTCAACTCCACAGCCTCGAGGAACAAGCTTCCTAGGTCCCCTTCTTTGCTGCGGTTGTTTACAGGGTTCCAGACTTCTGGTTACCCTGACTCTGCTTTCAGTGACTAGTTAGCTGCCCCGGTCGCTGGCGGTGCTTTGCAGCCAACACCCTAACCACCTTCGGATTTCTCAATGCGGACAAGTCGTCGCTTCACGATGGAGGCGCTCAACGCTCGCCACCCAACACTCGGCCACCCCGTGCATGTTCGCTCATCTGATTGTTGCCGACGCCGGGCCAGCAGCTGTTAGCTGTCCACCGACCGTCAACCGCGTTCTTACAACCCCAATGAGGTTTGTACGAAAGAAATTACATAATTGCTTGTCATGATGACTTGACAATTGGACCCAGATCTTGTTTGTTGGTCCTTTTAGGATACGACTCCGCCATTGCCGTTTCGCGTCAAATGAGCCGGGCTATCAACGGATACAACTTTGAACGTTGGGGCTCCGGGGTTCGTTGGATGGTCCATCGCCACGGCAAACCTTTCTTGGCATATAACGGCCGCGTCTACCCCAAAGTCAGTTTCGAAACTATCCTCACACCCTGCGATGCTATGCTTAGGCGTGTTAAGAATTCATGACTGAAGCTTGGCCAGTCGTCGGTCCGCCCGGGTGGACTTCCGGATTGCAGCTGTAAGCGTGTTGGCTTGTCACCGCCCCAAACGCTGAGCCCAACAGAAGCACCGACGCGGGTTTCTCTGACCGCGAGGGTAGGTAGGTTTTCTGCCCAAGACACAATAGTTATGGATTTAAGGACAACGGCCCGGCAGCAGGCCATCCCGGGCCCAGCTCCAAAAAAAAAAAAACCACAAGCTGTCCCTGTGAGCAAATTTCTGTGGATCGGACATGACCTGCGGGCTGTCGATGAAGCTTCCCGAGGTCCCCAGTTTGCATGACTTATTACTTGGTATACTCCCCCAGAATCCCTGATTCCGGACGGGGCGCCGGGGAGCCGGGGCGCCGGGGCACGAACCACGAGCTGCTGAATGAGTGCAAAATTCCCATGACCTGTCATGACTACAAAATTAGTCAGGTGAGAATGCCAGGCACAAAGAATGGAGTTTAGTTACAAAACAAGGACTTTTACATTCGTTTCTTCACTTATTTCCAACCAATATCTGACATGAAATAAGCTACAACTCCCCGGCAAAAGATGCAGAAGTGAAAAATTACCATCATCCATCGGATCAACGGGCGATCTGATCTGAGGGACGTGGCAGACTTTTATCGTGTCAGATGAGAAAAAAAAACGTGCGGAGGTCGTATATCATACCCTTGTTGCGGCAGCTAAAAAAATAAAAAATACAAAAAAGCGTGTCCATTCAAAAATGGTAATCATCTCGCTCACCGCATCCTCGTCATGTTACTCCCACCACATGCCTGCATACTGTGTCCTCCCCTGACGTGTCTTGCCTCCCCCTCCCCCCTGTGATCCGCTTGCATTGCTGCTTTTCTTCTTCTTCTTCTTCTTCTTCTTCTTCTTCTTCTTCTTCTAGTCTCTGTATCCGAATAAAAAAATAAGCGCTGCCACCGGCAGAATAATAAAACCACGCTAAGAAAAACATGCAATAGCCCTTTCTAGACCTTGGAGTCGATCCACTGATACACCGTCACAAACGTCGTGTACACCATGGCGACGAAGCCGCCGACCATGAGCACAACGTCCAGCGCCTTGACCCAGCGCTTCTCCGCCGCACCCTTGTAGTGCATGTAGGCCGGGTAGATGTAGACGAGCGGCACGCAGGCAAAGCTGCCGATGAGGGCGACAAACTTGTCGAGGTCGCTGGCGCCGACGATGCTGACGCCGACGCACAGCGCCATGACGAGGGAGCGCAGGCCGTTCTTCTGCCACTTGATGGCGAGCGACTTCTTGCCCGTGGCGCGCTCGCCAAAGAGGGACGTCTCGATGATGCGCACCGCGGGGAAGAGCTGCACCGGGTCGCCGGCGAGGACGGCAATCGAGTAGAGCAGCTGCACGGCGTTGACGAGCGCCGAGTCCTGCGGGAAGTTGGAGATGATTTGGATCTTGGTGTCCTCGCCAAAGGTGGCGTAGCAGAGGGCGCCGACCGAGGTGAAGATGATGGTGATGAGGAACATGACAAAGTAGAGCAGCGGGCCAAAGTGGTGCGGCTTCTTCATCGAGGACTGGATCGGCAGGATGAGGCCGATGCCTTCAAACGTGAAGATGGCGGAGCCAATGGTGAGGGGGAAGTCGACCGGGTTGAAGAGGCGGATCGGCGCGGGGCCGCGCGACGCGAGCGCCTGGATGTCGTAGTACCAAATGTAGACGAGGCCAAAGAGGATGAAGACGTCGGCGATGAGCGCGGCCATGCCGAGCTTGGAGATGTTGCGGATGAGCGCCATGGGCACCAGCGGGACGAGCTGCAGCGCAATGAGCGCGGGCACGCCGACCTGAAACGTGCCGCGGCCCTCCGTGACGGCGTCGAGGAACGCATACAGGTTCTCGGCGGAGAAGATGAGCCCGGAGCAGACGAAGCCGAGCTGGGAGAGGGTGATGGAGAAGAGGATCATGCCGCGGAAGCGCGGGCCGACAATGGCGGCGCCGAGCTCGCCGTAGCCGCCGCCGTAGCGCGCGCGGCAGTCGAGCAGCAGCTTGAAGCAGATGCTCGTGACGAGCGACACGGCGACGAGCGTCATGCTGGAAAAGACCATGCCGCCGTTGCGGAACGCCTTGGGCAGGAACATGATGCCGGTGCCGATGAAGGCCTTGAGCAGCGTGAAGAAGGTCTTGAGCGTGCTGGCATCGCCCTCGCGCGCGAGGCGGCGCACGCTCTTGTTGCGTCCGAGGGTCGGCGGGCGGCGAATGAGCGGCGAGGCCTCGGTGGCGGCGGCCGTGTCGTCGTCGTCGTCGTCGGCGTCCAGGGCCGAGTCGTCCAGGGCGGACTCGTCGTCGGTGTCGTCGAGGTCCTCGCCGGCGAAGCTGCCGTAGAGGTCGAGAAAGTCGACGAAGCTGCGGGCGACGAGGGGCCCGGCGCGGGCGGCGCGGCGCTTGCGCGCCTCGCGGAGGAGGTGCTGGCGGCGGAAGCCGCCGGGGATGCGCTGCTCGTGGTACGACATGCCGTCGGCGGGCTGCAGGCTGGGCGAGGGCTGGTGCGAGAAGGTGTTGGCGCGGCGCAGCGAGTTGGCGCGGGCCTTGATGCGGAACATGTCGCGGTGGATGTCGCCGCCCTGCAGCTTGAGCGACGACTCGACCATGTCCGCGTCGGGGCTCGCCCCGTCATCCAGCGGCGGAGCGGGGATGGCCGCGCCGGCGGCGGAGAGCGTCGGCGACTCGGAGCGGCCCAGGGTCAGCGGGCTCTCGAGGAGAGCCGCCTCGACCGGCTCCGCCGACAGGCTGACTTGGGGATCGGCAGAGTACCCGTCGGGCAAGTGGCGGTCGAGAATCTCGGCCGCCCGCTCCCTGCTCTGGCTCGCAGGGCTGCCGGGCGGCGGAATTTCGCCAAATTCTTCCATCTGGGGGAAGCGAAGAACAGAAGCGCCAACAAAAGGGATTTTTATTTTCCTTCGGATGGTGGGTTGTCGTGCGTCGTGCGTCGGCGATCGTGAGCTCAAAGGAGGTGTGGGGGTTGGCGGATATGCAGGAAAAAGCGATTTAGGAAGAGTGCGTGGACGAGCACAGTTCCATCTCCGTAAGAAAACCAAGCACCAGAGCAAAAAAGGCGTCTGCGGAATTGGTGTTGGGCGGCGATCAATTTGTTGTTAAGAGGGAAAGGAAGAATCAATCAACCGGTCTGCAACGGCCGAAGTTGTCACTAGTTTTAAAGTGGAGGTCACGCGGCCGGCGACGGAGGAGACGGGCCGAGTAAATACTTGGCGAGTGACGCAACGAACACTTGGAAAAATTGAACGAAACCCCCAAAAAAATACAAGGCATCGATTGGAACAAATTGCGGGCAATTGATACTGGTGTTTGTGTTATTGATTGCGTAGTTGTGGAATTGTCGTGAGAGCGCGTTCCGCGGATGAATATCGATCGTGATCGTCGTGGCTGATGCCAAGGAAGGAAAGATCCACATACTGAATAATACGGGAGTAGAATTCACGACGATGCGTTTGAGTTGTTCACTGCGCCTGGGGACATGACCAAACCCCAGGTACGGACTAGCAATTCATTCGAAAATATCTAGTGGATATTGAACAACTTCTACGCTGGAAGCCATGCACGTCGAGTCCAGTGTGTACGTCCGCGAAATTGTGTTTTTCCCCAGCCCACGATTTTGAAAGGAAACACTATTGTCATCGCGTACACGGGACGGATCAAGCCGTTCATGACTTGAAATAAACCAAAAACTATGACAGATATATATCCAGAGCGTCTGAAATTACATTATTGAGACGTGGTTGCTGAGGGAAAACATCTGGATCTACTCTCGGGTAGCATAGCCGAGTCCTGGTAGCATCAACATTCCGGCGCCGAAGCTGCGGCGGCACATGCAAGAGTTTTCGTGGTTTTGAGCATTCATGGCTAGTTGTATATATTTGTCAATAGATGCCTTGAAGGGCCGCAGGAGTTTACTCCGACGGATAATATTAGAGTTGGAGATTTCGTACGCCCCTCCCTTGACGTCCAGGGAGGCTTCATCTCGCTAAATAACCACGCCTTCATGAGTAAAGATAGACATTATGCAAAACTGGGAATTAAACTTAGGGAAACAAAGCAAAGCAAAAACCACTCAATCAAAAACAAATAGCTATCCAACCCAGGGAGGAATACTCCGAGTTGACCTTCGAAGGAGCACCCGCCAGCTCTCATAATCTGGACGGGGCTTGGTGTGGCTAAAGAGGCAGCCCCATTTTGCAGGCTCGTGGTTTGGAATCTCGCATCAAACCATAGAGTTGAAGTCTCAGTTGACCAATCCTCGAATCGAGCCCCTTTGTGCTACGCTGCTCAGTCTCGTCACTTCTGAGCGTTTCTCTGTTCGTTCCGGTGTGGCTGCGTCTATCACTTCAGCCGCATGGTGTGTTTATTTACAAAAATGTGTGAATGGATTGAATAAATCTAGGGGGAGAAACTGTTGTCGCACTATCATGACACATATCGGCACAGCCCTCTGATGATGTGCCTGATTGGCGCGCCAAATTGGGCGGCGGACGGCAGCAGCAATGAGTTTCTGAGCCAGTGACTGTACAATTATGTAAGGAGGGCAGCATGCGAGATTGCGAAATAGAAATAAAAAGAAATCAAAAGAAGTAAAGAAAGGGTGGTGTGGGGGACGGTTTGCGGAAGAAAAAGCAACCAGGCTGGCTGCCTTACGTGTGCGTAAATACACAAGATTATAGAAGAGAATTCTTGCAAAATTGCCGAATAAGCAGATGAGATCTCAGCCAGACAATGTACGAGGAAGACGCAGGTAGCAAGGTAGGTAGTCAGTGGTCAGCTGCGTCAGGACGCCAGATATCAAGGCATACACGCCACTATTCGCAGATCAGATATCGGTTAGGGCTGGAGGAAAGTTGATAGAGACTATCCGTAGACCGATCTTGGTTACTGTGATTTTCAGCCCGTCATCATCGTGTCTTACCCGCCGGTGGGCATACCCGACTCAAGGCAAAGCTGTGGACGGATAACGGACCGAGATGAAGCCGTCGACCGTTGACTTAGCACCGCAAAGGGCACGGCATTAACAAAGCAATTTCCAAATGAATATGGAGTAGACGGTATATCCCTTGCTTCTCGGAGCAAGCCATGAAGTCGCTTCGTGCCGTCCAGAGTTGATGGAGGCGGATTAGTAGCAAGGCTGCAGAGTGATATGGTGGTCAGACGTAACATGTATGATTCTGAAGAGATGCATGTCTGGGTCGTCTCTTCTCTTGCGACCCGTGCGACCGTAGGAAAAGGCCAAATGGCAATCTTTCGATCTGCGAGAATCGTGTCGGACAGGACTAGTCACTGCCTGCAGAAGAGTTTGCACCCGACCCGGCATGATGCTGTATAGATACCTGTCACAGCCACGCTGACGAAGACAGGAGTGTGATACGACGTGCTGATGACGCAAATATGCATCTTGATCCTCAGTGTCGGGAGACAGCCAACCCGCATGAGCACCTGCATGAAGGCGCTGCGGCCGGGCAGGGGATGCGATGGCACTTGCTGCTTGATACGAGTGACGGCAGAAAAAGGCGAGAAGGATGCGGAGGGCGGAAGTGAAAAGAAAGGCAGCGATGATCCGAGCTGGTTTTGGACAAGATGGACTGAGAAAGAGACAGAGCCCAGCATGGTTGATGCCCTGGAGTGGGTCGAGGGCCAAAAGGGCAGTGTGAGTATGTATAACAGAATGAAGATGATATTCCTAGGCCCTACCCTATGCTGGCTACCTATCTAGTGGTGTGTAGGGCTATAGCCTATAGCTACCACACAGCCTATAGGCTATAGGTGCTACTATCTAAATAATAATATCCTTATTAGATAATAGAAGCTATAATAATAATATCCTTATCCTATCTAATAGTAATTTATCTTTTTATCTTTATAAAATAATAAAGTAATTTATTATACTTTATTAAATAATAAAAAAAAAAGAAAAAAAGCTAAGTTTTTAATTAAATTTCTTATATCTCTCCCTTTTAAGCCTAGTCTTTTAGGATTATTAAGCCTTATAATTACTTCTTTAATACCTAGTCTATATTATATTTCTTTTTATAGCTTCTTTATATTATAGTTATTACTATTATAGCTAGGTTCTTTAATATTTTAGTATATTAATATATATTATCTTTTTATTATTTTAATATTATAAATATCTTAAGGCTATACTTCTTTATTATATATTAATAAAGGTAGAATAATAATACTATTTTATAACTATATTTATACCTTACTTTCTATATTTTTATAAATTTTAAAATATTTATTATCTTTTATAATATACTATATCTATATTTAATTATTTATTATAAGACTAAAATATTATCTAGGTCTTTATAGTCCTCTAGTTATAGTCTTATAAATTATAAATAGAATTCTATTTAGGCTTTTTACTATTAGGCTAATAACTATAAGTAGCTTTATTTTAAGTCTAAAAAGAGGCTATAGAATAATATTAGTTATAGCCTTATAAGTAGGCTAGTTAGCTATAGCTATAACTAGGCTAGGCTAGCTTCCTATTCTATAAGTAGGCTAGTTAATAGTAGCTATAGCTAGGCCTTTAGTTCCTATATTAGCTTTAATATTAGTATTAATATTAAGGCTAATACCTACCTTAGTAATACTAGTACTAGTATTTACTTTAACTTTAATATTTATATAATTATAAGTTAATTTATTAGTATAGCCTTTATTAAGTATAGTAGTAATAGTATTAATATATATTAGTAGTATTTATATTTCTTAATACTTATCTTAAGGGTAACTAGCTTAGTAATAGCTATCTTAAAGGCTACTAGTTTAGTAGTAGTTATTCTAAGAGCTATTAGTTATATAGTAGCTATAGCTACCTTATCCTTTATAAAGCCCTTTATTAGTTTAAAAGCGTACTAGGCCTAATTTATACTTAGTATTAGTAGTATAGGTAGGAGTAGTTAAGGTAGAGCTAGTTAAGGTAAAGCTAGCTAAGGTAGAGTTACTAGTTATATAATAGCTATCTTAAAAGCTACTAGTCCTATAGTAGCTACTCTAATAGTAACTAGTTTAGTAATAATTAGTACTATAGTATTAGTCTTTATAATACTAATAATAGTAACTACCTACTTTATATATATTACCTTAACTACCTTAGTCTAGGTATTTAGTAGTAGTAACTTTAGTTTATTTAGTATTTAGTATTACTTCTTAAATATTAAGTTATACTATATAAGCTTCTAGACCTTATATAGGCCTTAGATCTATATCTAGATAAATATTTATCTAAATAGTAAGAATATCTAGGTATCTTTAGTTATAGTATAGGCTATAAAGAATCTAGTTATTATTATACTCTTATTACTAAAGATTATATATAAATAGTTTTATTTTATTATTATTTATTAGTATTTATTAAATATACTAAAGAATAGCTATATAAATTTTATTATATTATAAAGTACTTTTCTATATTTATTAAAAAGGGTTATATTAATATATCTAGGTAAGTATTCTCTTATACTATTTAAGGTTAATAAGGCTTAGTATATCTTTCTAAGCTAGGTTAAATAGTTATTTAAGTTATTATTAATTAAGCCTTTAATAAGCTTTAAGACTATTTAATATATCTAATTAATCTATTAGTTATTTCTTAGTATAAGTAATATATTTAAATATATTTTATTATCTATATTTAGGTTAGGCTTACTTCTCTTTAAGGTTATACCTATTTCTTATTTAGCTTATCTCTTTACCTAATCTTTATTATTACTAGGACTAGCTAGTATAGCTAGATTTATAGCTAGATTTACTAGATTCTATATTATAAATATAGGTAATACTTAATTAGTTATAAATATAAATACTACTTAATTATCTATTTATAACTTATATA